ATGTACCCGCAGAGCCACGCGCCTGATTTTAAGGTATAAACCTGCGTTATAAATAATCCCTATCTACCCATTGGGATACACTCAGTTATGTAAATTAGTACTGCCTTAATCCCCTTAATTACCTACATGCCTCCTAATGACTAGCAACCCATAACAACGCAACATTTGTAAAGTTTAAAACATGCTTATTGATACAAATAACAGACGATAGTGTCAAAAATATTACAACTAAAACTATTTGTTAAACTGTTCTATAAGTTTTTTTCTCCATGAGTTCTTGATAAGCTTTCTTATGATCTGCCTCAAAACTTCTAAATCGTTCACCCGTCACCTTCACAGAATACATGTAACTCGCTTTGCTTATCAATATCAATTTCATTCCGTTTCAACTCATCAAAAATTATATCTATGTTATCCATGATACCCTCACCACAACAATTGAACAGCGAATGAGACACACAGTATTTATTTCAGTAAATATATGCAAATTTACATTAATTAACTAGCAACGTATTATTATTACAAGAGGTCTATTTTATCAAGTTCACTTGTTAAACCAAATCTACGAAATTCATCATTGGCCTCCATAGTGTTAGATTTAGAACTATTAAATGTCTCTCCTGTTTCTTCAATCATGTACTGGTATTGTAGTGGATTACTGAAGAGCACGATGCCAGTGTTGGTCACCCGAGGGCCTTGTTGCTTCCATTCGACTCAGACATTTTTTTTCTTTTCTTCCCATTCTCGACTTCGCTTGCAGCCAATCTGTAATAGTTGTCCAAGCTAACACCTGTTTTCTTCTCGAATTTTTCCTTCCTTTTTGTCATATCTGCAAATATCTCACCCACAAGCATCTGCTTACAGTTCAACAAATATGTAAAGGTAGGGCCCTGCACTCGTTTAGGAACACCAACACTCAGAATCAATTGTGATTGCATTTGACGCAACAATATATCATACAGGGCATCGTCCCCACGAATAAATTTCGGTACCAAACCCTTTTCAATCAAAATGTTTTCCAAATCTGTAATTTGCCATTTCGCCTTTTCAATAGGTAAACCAACCCCATTCTCACACTCTGTACTCAATTCAAACGATTTACCACTCATCCACGAAGAAACAACCTTTTCCCACTTTGCTTGCTCCATCTCGACTGAAAAAGAGCGCGATAATCTGTTTCCCCTCAAAAAACTTTATCTTCCAACAACCAATAAACGTTAATTCTACCAACAAGATGAAATTCAGCAGCTTGCCAAAAGACCTCCAGTAAGAGCGTTGTCAAAATATAGACGATGCTTGTTACAAGACGCTTGTCGATTTTATACAGACGCTCGTTAAATCAAACAACCAATCATAGTAAGCCAATCCTAATCCCTCCATTGTATCATAAACGTGGGGGACGCTAAAAAAATGCGTAGTCAGCAAGTTTCACACGTCCTTGTTTAAACCATATGGTTTAAACCTGCCCGCGTGACGTCATTGCATATAATTATGACGTATGTTAATGAGTGACGTCATTACTCCTCCTCATTCCTCCTCACTCTTCCTCCTCATTTCTCCTCACTCCTCCTCCTCACTCCTCCTCCTCATTCCTCCTCCTCATTTATCCTCACTCCTCCTCCTCATTTCTTCTCACTCCTCCTCCTCATTTCTCCTCACTCCTCCTCCTCACTCCTCCTCCTCAAAAATCCGGCCCGATCGGTACCTATATTACTACTAACAATGCATCTCGAAGTATGATTATTTTTAGATTTTTGTTTTAATTGATACACTCTTGAATCGTGCTTGCTAATAGATTCACAATGTGGACAGTTTTTTAGAAGGATGTATAGTTTATATTTGAAGATGCGAGGGACAGTGGCGAAGCCAGCTCAAATGACTTGGTCCAAAAAGCGCGAACCAGCTATGAGGGGTCCGGAGTCATGCCCCCACGGAAAAATTTTGAAAATTCGAACTCAGAAATGCCATTTCCTGCGATTTAGGCACTGGATTTTGCGCTCCAGTTTGACCTCAAGGAGGGGCAAAACGTTGGGAAAACTGATCATATTTTAACCAAAAATCGTGATTGATGACGTTTGATCACCAATTTGATGAACCATCGCACGATGGTAAAAGCCATTGAGCGGAAATACAATTTTACAGGTTATCCCCAAAAAACCCACAGACTATTGAAATAACGTATTGTTAGAATTAGAATGCCTTAGCACTCAGCTGAACGCAAAGATGCGTAAAATATTAACAGGGTGCATATATTATAGATATTGACTTAAATATCTTTGTAAAGCGCACGATTTTCATTTTCTGCTCTTGGGATGGAATTTAAAGTTTCTTTATGCGTAAAATTTACTTATGTCAAGCTTTTGTGCACTTGTGAGTTCAGCAGAGTGCTAAGGCATTCAAATTCTAACACCACGTTATTTCAATGGTTTGGGGTTTTTTGGGACACCCTGTGTTGTCACATGGGAGGTAAATACGCGATAAACTGATTTTCTGCATTAAATTGTCTTGAGATATTTACTGTGAAAAGGTGCCGACTTTTATGGTGAATTCAAACGTGCACTCCAATTTTGTGCAGAGATTTCTGTGGAAGAATAATAAGTGTTTTCTGAAAATTCCCGTAAAAGAATTGCATACGTTTAAGGGATATCGAAGGGCCGTGCAATATCTTCCCCCGGTTATTAAATGAAAAAGGCGAACTGACGATGTTTATACGGAATTTAATGCAGAATGGAATGGTATTTTCGGAATATCCATCTATCGTGCACACAAGTACTGTATGTGCTCATTATACGAAAGTAAATTTACGTGCCAGGGACTAATTAAGTGTCGATTAATTCATACAATTATACAAATCACTATGGAAAATGTCGATACGCGAAATGTTGTTATTTTGTGTTTCCGGCCAGTTTATTTTGATTTATATGATATCAAAAGCTAAAATAAATAATTTTATTATATAGTAGAGAGTGAGATACTGAGAAATACACAGTGACATCATGTTTCGCCTGCTACTCTGGTTTAAATAAATGATTACAAAACCCAGTCGAATTGTAATCAAGATCGACACTCCAGCCTAGTGTCTTCATCAGGGGTGATCTAAAGATGCAATCGTGGCTTCTTAAATCAGGGGCGGATCTAGGATTTTTCGCACGTTAGTCAAAAATCTATGGCGTCATCGATGACGCAAAACGTGATGACGTCATTTTCCATGACGTTATTCGATGTCACGATGATAGTCCAATTTTCGTGGGAGTATAGATATTTTATTTTATCAAACTACAAATGCGCAAATGACATAGTTTTCGTACCTGCCAATGTTCAGCATATATATGATAAAGTAATATATAGACAGTTTTGCCCTACAGTGTATACCTTGGTTCATCAGCATGCCTAGGAAACACATTTACCAAAAATAGTAAACCATGATCCAACAAGGATAGCTCCTTGAAAAAGCTGAACACAAGCACATGTTTCTGGCACCTTAAAACTAGATTGCTCGCCTTCACACCTTTTGCAAGAGCAAAAGGAGTTTGGTTAGAACTTAGAAATGGGTGACAATGAAAACCACCTAAAATGAGCAATCTGGTTTTAAGGTGCCATAAACCCACCTAACACCTTTCACCACAGCAAAAGGAGCTTGGTTAAAAATGGGTGACAATATGTGAAATTGCCCAGTTTTTCCCTTTAGCCCCTTCCCCATTCCCCCTATTACTAACCTATGTCTAATCTAATTAAATTCATCATCTTGTTATATACTGTCCACTATGAAAATGTATAACATCACAAGTGAAATGGTGCCTCAAAGCTGCAGCTTCATTGAAAGCCAACTTTTATTGAAAACAAGTTTATTTTACCTGGCATTTTAATTAAACATATTTTAATCACAATAGATTCAAATACAAAAGATTCATTACAAATGACTATTACTTTACTTATCTAGTTATCTGAAATAATTGGCAAGGTTTTTACACAGTATTCTACTATTCTTACACTATGCTTACATACTGTATATAGACACATACTATCAACATGGTGTTTGTCTGTCAGAGCCAGAAATAACATTCCCAAAATTCCCGATCAAGGTGATTGATCATGGTGATTGATCATGGTGATCGGCAGTCATGACTTTCCCTGCTTTTTCAGGTTGAAAACCCTGCTTATCCGCTGATCATAAGCAATTTATTGCTGATTATTGATTGGTAATCATTAATTATTTCAAGCTCTGGTCTGTTGAAAAATTTAACTGATTCAAGATGCAATGGACCGGTCTCAAGCCAATGAGATCAGACCGATATTTGGCATCAGCTTTTGTCTACAAAGCCTGAATGTTTGGGGAGGGGGGAGATTATGGGAATTAAGGTGGTCATCATGCCCCAGGAAGTTTTTTCTCATGTCAGTTTTGTGTACAAGAGTGAGGTTATTGTTATTGGAGGCGAGAGTAGTCTTTTTGCAAGCCGATATATTTAACTTCAACCTCCAGCATGTTCCAGAAAATTTATTAATAAAGTTTCCTACAATATGTTAGGAATAATATCCTGGTGAATTTGCATCATGACTAAGCCAAGTCATTTAATTTAATATTTAGTCTTCAACCATAGTGCTTCTTCGCTTATACTGTACAAAAAGTGACATACTGTATAGACCTTTCACACTTGCACTGTAAACATTTAAACTATCAAGGTCAAATTTATAGGTCATTGGTACCTGTCAATGCTTAGGAAACAGAGCTATACAGCCAATTGCCAGTTGCATTAGATCTAAAAATATAACCAAAGATTATATTATTATTATCTTTATAAAGTACATTTGTAGAGCTATTATCAGTCAATCAATACTCTATAAACCATGTACACAATAAATATTTTTTATCCAACATGATCAAATATTTGAGATCAAGTTTCTGCCACTTGAGGTGTTTTAATTTTATACACATATAAATGACGTTCAATTCAACGATTTATTGTTCAAAATTCAAACCACTTTACCTTATTGCCATACACCTCTTATTAATCTCTTGAAAATATAGACGACGAGAAATCAACACATCATAGTTTCGGCCAAGACAATTTTCTTGCATCCATCGAATTTATCAGCTTGAAATATTGTCCACAGAACACCAGAAAGCATCCCATATCGTAACAAATAACGATATAACCCTTTCGAAATCTTTATTTCGAAAATAGTTCAACAAATATACCAAGATTAAGCGAAATAATTTGCTTGTAAAATTGTACAGAGCTGCAACAGAGGGCATGGTAGAAAACCCGGGTACCGGGTAACCGGATTACCGGATAACTGGATAACCGGATAATCGGATAACCGGATAACCGGATAACCGGATAATCGGATAACCGGATAACCGGATAATTGGATAACCGGATAACCGGATAACCGGATAACCGGATAACCGAAGATTTGTGTGCCGATGGAAAGCTAACAAAACTGCAAGACGTCTTTCTGCGTGAAAAACTAATTAGTCTTTGTAAAAAGTCGTGGCAATTAATAAGTGCTTAAAATACAAACAGCGAATAAGAAAAGAACATAAACCCAAAAAAATCAGTTTGAGACGGTTGGATAATGATGAGGGTAATGTTCCGTGTCGAACTTCAATTATCTGCCTTGAATGCATGCTGCATGTTATTAGTCCGTGTGTTGTGACCTCGAAAAGTGCCTAGAAAACGATTTTCATTAAGCATGTCTTAGATCTGAAATATTTTTACGGGAACTAACACTTTCGAACAGGCTGAGTTCGAAAGTGTTAGTTAAGAAAGAGTTATGTAATGGACCAGCACTGAAATTTCCAACACGGTTTCCAAGACGTAATTCAGGAGATAACTTACTGTATCATTGCATT